TTGTTATTATATTATTTATTACATTACCATTTATTATTAAAATTGCATACTATTTCATGTAACATTGTGACAGTGAAGACAATAAATTTTATTTTGAAAATAGAATATTGAAAATCAGTTTGCTTTATTCTATTATTCTGACTTATTCTATNTTTCTTATACATATATGTATATATTATTTTAAATATCATTATTAGTATATAGAATATATTTTATGATACATATTATCATATACCATATATTCCATATTATTACACAATGCATTTATATACGTAGATACATATTATCCCATATACTTTATTGTACTTTCTTATACATATATGTATATATTATTTTAAATATCATTATTAGTATATAGAATATATTTTATGACATATATTATCATATACCATATATATATTTCATATTATTACACAATTCATTTATATACGTACACTTGCCAAAACAGAGCTAGATCCGGGTCCACACTGACCCAGCGCAGTTTCTGTCGCTCGCATCCGTCCGAATCAACAAACAATTAATTTAACAACGCGTAACGACGCATTTCTGATCGCGTATAGCATAAAACAGACGAGAAATCGTAATAGAAGGACTCGATTGGTTCCAGCGGGCTGTGTTGCTATGAATTCGCAGCGGTGACGGAAACAGTTCCAGCGGCGTTTATCGGGGGAACCGTATATTTTAATAATCAGCCACGTCGGCCGCGATTACTCGCGCGCTTACCGGCGTTTACATAATCGCGGCTAAGTGTTCGCCGAGATTACTCACTCGACCGTCCGCGATGATTTATCGTCCGCTAATGACTTTCGATTCCGTATTAATTATAGGAATGCCTCGGTTCCTGTTAATAGAAGCCGAGCGGCGCGCGCGCCGCGCCGGTCTCCGCGGGCCACGCAACCTGTTATTATTTTCAACAATTTCGTTGCATAATCGACCGACGGACGCGCATCTCCGCGACGTCACGTTCCATCCTGTTTCAGCAACTGCTCGTCTCTCGATTTTCAGCTCCGGCTCCGACCAGCAGCTCGTGGCTCGCTGAACAATCGAGTGAAATTTTTATCTCGTACAAGTCGAATGCAATGTTTCTAACAAATTTCAATTATTCCGATTTTTTTCATATTTATGGTTATTTATTGTTTATTGTTTTAAGACAATATGAGCGATATTAAGAAATTTGTGATACTTGAAGTGTATCAGATGATTTTGACTGAACCAAGATTTTAGCTGGTTCTAACCTAGCCCTAATCCAGACCTAATCTAGACCTAACCCAGGCCTAACCTAATACGTATTTACAACTACAACAACAAAAATGGTTGAGTGGAATTTAGAACAGTGAGAAGATTAGAAGACGTTAAGAATCTTTGTGAAAAATACAAATTTTTTGCATTGAACACATGAAGCCGTGCGCAATTATTATCCTTCTTAAATAATTTTAATAAGTTGAAACTGATAAATTAACACTAATTAGAATTGTTTAAGGGGAATAAAAATTATACGCGTCTCATATGTTCTGAAATAAATGCAGACAAACTTTATTTTGTACAGTCAAATGCACTATTTTTAAGAAATTTTAATATTATTATTATTATTATTATTATTTTTATATTATATATATAATATAATATATATATATTTTTATATTATATATTATATATTATTATTATTATTATTATTATTTTTATATTATATATATAATATAATATATATATTTTTTTATATTATATATTATTATTATTATTATTATTATTTAAGGTCTATT